CGACAGGAAAGGCGAAAGCAGGGCCAAGAGGCGAGACGGAATTGACAGAAATCCCTTTGTAAGGCCACAGATGAAAGAAGCTGGAAGTATACATGTTTTGCGACCCACTTGCCAAAGGGCTCAATGAGGCGCAAGCCCACGCTTTTGTTGATAGAACGGGGTATATCAGCCTGACAACAGCCATAGACTCAGCCATATTCAGCAGCAATTTTGAAGCATCCCACAAGTCGCAGAACATCTTTCGCAGATGACAGCCAGTACAGCCTTCGATTCCAGGTGTTTTTTTCGCTTCGGGCAGTCCGAGCTGCTTCATAGCCCCTAGTCGCCTCCTTGCTCCAGAAGGACCATGTTCGTGGCCCTTGGGCCCCGTGCAATGCCACGTTCGTCGAATGGGTGGTTGATGACTTCTCCAAAGCATCCCCCAAGCCACATCAGTTGAACCAATGATGAAGAAAGGGTATGCTTGTGGTTCAACTGCATGTTCCCACCAAGTGAATGATTGGCGAGCTTGACCAGTTGGTGCTAGCACCACACCCTCACCTGCGGAAAACCCAGCTTAGGCCGTGGCTGTGTGCCTTTTCGACCCAGAGGTGTGGTATATCTGGGAGGAAGGGCTGAAGGGTTGAGCTGAATTTCTGAAGGGAGGTTTTCGGGTTTTTCGGGGGCTGAGCTCGGCTGTCCTTTCCGCCAAAGACCAGGAACTCGTGCAACTCGTAGTAATGACTACTCCGCCTCGCCGGGACATCCCGGCTGATGGCGGTCTGGCCCCAAAGGTGGCGGTTTCTTCAAAAGAAGCATCCCTTCCAACACTCGTCGTATTGGGGAGCAACTCGTAGGTGGCTGTGTCTTTTCCGGGACATCTTCGACACCTGGACATCCTCAGGCTGAATGGCCAAGGTTGGTTAGGAGAAGAACTCGATATCCGAGTCCCAGACTTTTTATGGTCTTTTGGTGACCCCGAAAGGAACTTCCCTTACTTCCATGGGGCAAAATATACTGTATAGTCTTTGGACTCCTAGGGTTTCATGTTCAAACTCAAAACCTTGGTGTGACTTAGTATGACTTGATTGTACTTGAGTCACGATCAAGACTTGTGAAGACCACTATAGTAAGAGAAGGGTTGGTTGGTGCGCAAAACACTGTAAAACTCCTCACTTGTGAAATAAACGTACAGCCACCATGATCACATATTGTTTACATGATGTTCAACTAGAACTCAGGTCAATGGGCGTAAACAATTTTAAGGACGTCGCTTTTTCTTTGATCAATCCGTCGAACTCCGCGTGTCTTCACGTGTGAAGACCACCGACCCCATGCATCGAAGTTCGTTGCCAGGTGGTGTCCGAGCAACGGCTACAAGAGCTTTGTGATGAGGACTGGGGTCGCAAGATGCAGAGGTTTGGGTGTTAAGATGCAGTCGGGTACACCCTGGGCTCTCAGTAAGGAGAGACAAACTTAGGAAATGCGTACTGAAATGAATGCCACATGCCACACGCCCACCTAGGTTTGAAAGCCTAAGAAGTCAGGTGAAAGGTAAACCTGAAAAGGTCAATGGATTAAATGGAGTGGAGTCCGTTCCAACTCAAAAGACGACGACCACGATCCAAGGGATCGACGTCCCGTGCGAAGATTGGTTGGTCCTAATGAATAGGCCTTGCCCAAGCCCTTCAAAGGGGGTCCTTTCCAACAGGTCGGCATCTCGACACACTTTCATCAGGTCGGCATCGAGCTCAGGTGGCAGAAATCCCACGGCGAATCAAGCAGACTCAATTAGACTAAAAGTGACAGTTCTATCTATATAGGATCGACATGAGTCAGCATCTATATTGTTTTTTTGGTATATATTTTATGTATTATACACAAATAGTTATATAAGTATGTAACGTAGTACACACAGTATTGAGCAGCACTGCACGTCTCCATTAGGCAACAGGTACAAACAAATTGCTTCGACACCGCTCCCGCTGAATTTGTATGACTCTCTCCGTCAGGAAGCGACGGCCCGCCCGGGGTCCTAGCGGATCCGTTCGACGCTCGAGCATTGATGACCTCTGAAAGTTGGTCCACGTGGCCGTTTTCCTCCCAGATGTGACAGAAATTGTTGATTAAAATATCTGAAGGCATGGTTTAGCTTGTAAAAAGTAAGAAACAGCACATCACGCCACTTTTTGTTTTGAATTGGGTTCCTCGAACCTCTCGAACCGCCTGACTGAGGACAGCAAGTGGAGCAACAGCCACTTTGAACGCATTCTTGGTGGCGGTGTTGGGTTTGCGATGGGTCTTGGAGATGCAAAGAACACTTGACTACTCCAACTTTCAGGCACTTTCTCACCAGAGAAGAGAATGAGGCACCAGCATTCCTTACCTTTTGTTTCCTTTTGCTTTGGCTTTCAGGTGGAACGCACCCGACCACCAGAGATTGTCAAAAGAACATCAACTGTTAGGTCAACAAACTTGTCAACTGCAGAATTTGGCGGATAAGCCTGACAAGATCGCAACAGATTTTTTGTCACTGGATCGCATGTGATGTGGCGGCATCGGTGGCGTTACCAACAACAACGAGAGACCAGAGTAAATCCAGAGAACTCTTTGCCAAGCGGAGAACTAATTTCTGGGATCGCATGCGATCGTGAATCAATCGGGAATCAACCATAGCGTCCCAACATAGGGAGGGCATTGTTTACCATTGACTTTTGTGATAGCATCTTTATACTTAATTCAACAACTGCTGGATAGGCATGCATCCTAATGTTTAAACATGTTTAAACCACACTGAGTTTGTACGATTCACTCCATGTCATTCGCTTCCTCACTTGCTCGCCATCCGAGCGGAAGCGGAAGCGTGGGTGTTCGAACCATCAGACCAAAAGCCGAAGAGAACACCGAAGAGAGCCGTCGGTGTGGGTTTTGTGTTTGATTCCTCCGAAAAAGAAACAACACATGTTTTCTTCTTCAGCCATTTTTTTGAGTTCCAAAGTTTCCAAACGAATATCAGAAGGTATTCAAACAAACACAAAGAGAACATCCGTTCGGAGTGCCCTCAGGTTCCGGCATGAGCTCCAGGAGCTCCAGGAGCTCCAGGATCGCCGCGGAGGAGCTCGTGCGGAAGAAGCGGAAGTGGAGGCTGAAACGAAGGTGCGGCGCCCTAAACGGGCAGGTTGGGACGGAGATATAAGATTGGATAAGATAGATGCATAGTGAAAATATGTGGTCTTTGTGTGGTTATTATTGTATGGTGGTTGTATGGTGTTGTAATGTTTCGTAGGGACATGTTCAAGATTTTTGCAATTGGAACGAATGAAACATGATGGTCCCATGACACCGTCGCACGAAGTACAACTAAAAACTGAATCGTGGGTGTGTCCCATGACCTGTAACAGTCGGTAAACAATCATACATTAGACTAAAGGCCTTGGCTAACCATCAACATCCACTCGTATACAGGTTATGGGATCAATGACCCATATGACAAAAGATACAAGCTTAGCTCGTGCCGCGTGCCTTAGTTTTTGTTGGTCAACGAACGGTCCAGTACGTACAATGACACGGACTCTTTCCGATTCAGAGCATGGTTGCAGCATGGTGGTTGGACTCCGACTCCTGTGGATGTTCAACACTCCGTCCATGTGTTTCTACCAAGCTCGGTTCGCAAGCTAAGCACAGCGCTGCATCAAGCTTTGCTTTGCAGGTGCGCTACCAAGATGGGAGCTCGGTGCTGGTCTTCGACATGGGAGCTGAGATTACGGAGGAAGTGGGATTTGTGGATGTGTTTGTTGAGCTGATAGGCTTGGGTTGAGGAAAATCACAACTGATTTCCTTGGTCTTGTGGATCAAAGGGTGATGTCTCCCAGATGTTCTAGTAGATGTCACCGGCTCCGAACCAACAAAATAAACAAGATTGACCAAGATAATGAATCAGTTTCTTGGACCATAAAGTGATTGTTTCTTGGACCATAAACAAAATAAACTGATTCCAAGAAACGTCCGTTTCAAGTGGCCGAGTTCGTTCGGCGCCTGCTGGAGCCTTCGAATAATTCGAGTCCCTCAGTTCGAATCATGGTGGTTACGTGGATGGCATGGCTCCCTTGAGTTCGGATGACCATGTTCCAAAGACCAAGTACGTACGGAGTAGAACATGGTCATCATGATCCAAAGACCAAGAACCGTGTTCGGATGACCATGGTTCACTCCACTCACCACGAGAAATCGTTCGGAGTGTAGAGTCCCTGGCCACATCATGCCACATCCTTCGTTGCGTGCATGGTAGTGCATGGTCCTTCCTTAGGTCGGTTCTATTAGGTCCTGAGGTCCTGAGGTCTTGGTCTGATAGATGTCCTGGCTGCAAGTGCTGCATCCACGAGGACACTCCAGAATCCATGAGCATTTCGTAAACCCGGCAGTATGTCTTTCAGTATTACACCCAGCGCCCCGTACAGGCTACAGTCAGCAAAAAGCAAGTGAATCACCAATTCCGATCCAACTTGTCAAGTACCTATTCTATTCAGCCTGAGCATTCTATCAGCCCATGTTCAACCAATCCAGTGAGACCAATCCAATGCAAGACCCTAAGTCGCTTGACCCTGACTTGAGTCTATCTGCACAGCGGAGTGCGGAGTCGTCGTTGACTGCGTCTCTCGCAGAGTTACTAGGCTCTGGCAAGTACTTAGGCAGACCCAGCTAGACCAATATATAGGGACACAACGAGTCACATGCCGAGATCCTCAATGTTTTGTTACACAACGAGTTCGCGCGTGATCGGCCGCTCTGGCATCCGATCCGGTTTTGGGCTGCCATTGGGCGGTATGCAAACGAAGGAGAGTCGGGCCACGTTGCTTGAGGGGTTTGTCACGGGAAGTTCCCGTGCCACTGTTCAATCCAAGAATTCCCAAAGCATCATCAAATCCTTGGCGCCCATGTTATATCCAATGAAGCATCCACCGACGAAGAGTGGTTCTAGATGGTTCTAGGTTACTTTATAAATCTCTAAAAGAATCATGTGTCAAACTGGAACCTTGACATTTCTTGCATTTTGCACCCCTTTCTTTGCAGCCATGGCTTTGCCCACTGCTCCAATCGTGCTGACCGCACCAACGGAAGCCGTGCGTGCCGGATCCGCGCTGCATGCCACACGAACCACGCGCTCCACGATCGTCGACCGCGCGCGACACGATCAGCGCACGTGGCGCAGCGGCTTGACCGCCGTGGCAGCTGCAGGTGCGGAAGCCGCACGGCGGGCGGGGGGTGCGGAACGCGCAGTGTACTCTCTTAGGCTCACCCCGAAAAAGATAGCTCCCACCGTTGGGTGAGTTGAATTGGTTTGAAGGTCGATTGGAACGACAAGGGATCCTGACGATCCGTGAACGACTGTAAGCTGATGGCATATGGGATATCTTATATAAATACATTATCCACACATCCCTCTGAGTTAGCAGATATTTTTTTTGGTTAAATTTCAACGGTTAACTTTTTAGGCTGGGGTGTGTGTATGTGAAAGCTTCCTGCGGTTAAATTAAGAGATCAGCAGGTCGTTCTGATAGTTCTGAGGTTTTCGTACCTTCTGTCTGCCACGGAAATGGAACTATTGTTCCACGGAGCAGATACAATCCCACACACATTTGTGATTTGTGGGGTATGTGTGAGGTCAACCCCTCCTGGATAAAAATATATACAGGCGTATACAGGCGTACAGGCTGGACAATTGTCTGCAGGTTGGTGGATGTGGGGGCACAGACAACAAGCCTAGTAGGATCTAGTAGCTTTCACACCTCTAGGTTAAGGTGCAAAGGATACAGTGCTTGGTTTGTTGGGCTTTAATGTTCCGGGAAAGGAACGCTATGAACATTTGCTGTCTATGATTGCTCTTGCATGCTTTTGTAGGGGGCCCCTGGACATTGATTGTTGAAAAATTATCTAACAAATGGTGATATCCTGGATAACTTGTTGAAATCTATGTCCCAGGGTCTCAGTTAAATAGATTAATTATCCTGGGGCGGTTGAGGGGGGGGTCCTTCTAAGATAATCCATATTTGATGGCAATTCCGCGGTGTGGACAACGAAAAGGGGCATTCCGCGTGATACACCAACTCATGTTGAAGCAAATACGGGAACACAAACCAAACCAGAGCATTCCCAAAAGAAAGGACAACATGTATGGTGCAGTTATAAGATAGCCAGATGATGCCAGATGTTTGTTTGTCACGTGGACATCACTTTGTGATGATACTTAAGAACCTACTTGCAACTCGGCATGAAGTACTCCCTTCCTTGTCTAACCTTGGTCTATGATTCCACTACTCCAGATTGGGGTGGACAATTTGACGCTGAGTCAGCCCATTCCCCCACCCATTAGCAATTCAAACAACTAACATATATATACTTTATATACAATTTGCTGCCCAATAATTATGCTTTGAAACGTGAAACTTGTGGAATCTTGGGTAGAGGATAGGGAGCTTCAGCTCAGCTTCACTCCACATTAATCCTACACTAGTCTGCACTGGCGGAATTAATTATTCACCGTGTTTGAACTCATCAACTCACCTCGCCACTGCCAGTGGCGGCCACACGCCCGCAGCGCAGCACAGCGAGTGGGCGCGACTACGGCGAACGCGGCGCGCAAAGGAGATTGAGGGGGCCCAGGGCCTTGCAGCAAGCGGTGGCTTGAAATTATTCAGCGGGTGATGTCTTTGACTTTCCCAAGTGAAGTAAATAGTTTTATAACAAAGATCACAAAAAAACATCAGAAAAGTGAGTGCCTTGTGTTTGGGGATTACTGAGAAGTTGTTTTATCTTTATCTCATTGAAAGATAATGTTTGTGAGTCTTGGTCTGGGCGAAGTATAGTAATCCTTCCATTGGACACGGAATATTCACCTGCTTAAGATCAAGACCCGCTTAAGACCTGCTTAAGACCACATTCCACATGGAATAAAGCGTTGTCCGTGTCAATAGCAAGTATTATCACAACCTACTCTCCCTAAGTCAATGTCTATTCTTCCTATTCTTTGCCACGCCTCCCATGAGCTTGCGAATCCAAGGTGGACTTGCTGGTGAAAGAGTTGGAGGCGGACGGAGTAGGGGGAGCTGCCTTTTTTCAAGGTGCAGGTCGAGTGGGGAGTGAATCACACTCACGGTTTGTCCATGTGTGCGCTGGCAGATTTGGGAGTTTGGGGGATGCATCAATTGCTGCTCGTAGATTTCTGGACTTGGGTTTGATCGCTTCCACCAAATGGACACCGACGCTGCTTCGGCGTGTCCGACACCCGCACGCCAGATGGATGAGAGGGCGGCCATGCGCATTGTCAAGGCCAGTTTCGATAGATGTTCCTTGTGTCAACTTCGCCGTTGGGCTTCTCGCTTCAATCTTCTGAATCATGCTGAATCAGTACATATCACTACCGTTGCCAGACAATTCCGAGACACCAAACGATTATAAACGATTCAGAAATCCTCAAAAGATGGACACGATGTCGCTAGAATCACTGATTGTTTGTGTATCCAGAGGCCATTGTCCACTTCCTAGTGGTTGTTTGTAGGAAGGCTCATTCTTTTGGGGTCACGATGAGATGATTACAAGCATGCAAAGCATGCTAAGGAAAGCCATGAAAGAACCTCCCAGATGTGGGACACCCCTTCTTGCTCTCGCATCATGGAGGGATCGGTTGATCTTGCAGGATGAAGTGGGACTCTTGTGGGACTCTTGTGGTCGGTTCTCAAGTTTTAGTTCCAAGAACGAGAAGACCAGTGACCCAATGAAGGCCAGATGGTTTAGATGTGTTTCCTTCTTGTTCAAGACATGTTTAAACACGAGACATGTTTAACATCATTGAAGAACACGGGGATTTGGTGTGTCCCTGGAACAGGCGTTTGAGGTCGCGCACCGACCCCCCTTAGGTGCGCTCGCACCGCGACCCGCGACCTCACCGGAACGACCCGGGGCTTCCCTGCAGGACATCCGGACCTTTGTGGTGGCCCGCGAGGGCGAGGATGCCACTTGGGGCATGGGGGAGAGAGTGAGCGACCGTGGGCTCCAAGTTTTGATGGGCTCCGTTCCTTTTTTTGGATGGGCTCAGAAACTGAGCTCAAACAGAAACATGGGAAAGCTGGCTTTTGACGGTGTTTTTTCAGCAGGTCAGGTTGCAGGAATGGATCAAAAGTATAGGAAAGCCACGTGGGGAGCGGCCAGGCAATGCTGTGTTTGCATGGAGAATTGCTCGCCTTCATGGGAGCAGCGGTTGCAGCTGCAGGAGAAGCCAAGTGCACTCCAAAATTTCTCCCCGAGGAGACTGTGTTTCACGGCCCACGTGCTTCCACCTGGGCTAAACTGGAACCGAAACACGCACCGGTGGAGCTCTCACCCCTCAACGCGGCCCATTCAGCTCCCTCATTCGGCTCCGTTCCGCAGCCCATTCGGCGCATGCTTAGGCCACGGGCAGCCGCAGCATGGCTTGGGCGAAGCGCTTGTGCCGTGGCTTGAAGATGCTCGGCAAGCTGCGCAGATCTGAGCAGATCTGTGTTGAGAAAGGATCGATGATTGTAGGATATTGTACAGTGATCGAACTAGCAAAACTTCCGAAGAGTCTGTGGTAAATGAACAATTATATCAATAGGTCTAAGTAGACTCAAGCTGGGTTGTTTGGTTGGTTGGTTGTTTGGGAGTCTCCTTATTCTAGTACACACCTGCAAGTTGTTATGTTTTCAATGTTCACATGTTCTTGGATCTTCTTGAGTGGGCCCCACAGGCAGCAAGAAGGAATCATATATAATCATATGGAATTACTTACTTGATGCTGTTTTTGGACAATAATTACAAGAAGGACTCTTTCAGGGATTTCACCCAGGTGGATAGTATTTGGAGTTGTTTGACAAGTATTGGATGGAACTACCTGTGCCAATACTTGTTTTTGAACGCCTTTTTGGGGGACTTTGCACCCACACCCAGTCCGGGTCCGAGGTCATGAGAGGGGTCAGGGGATCTCTCATTCTACAAAGTCTTCAACACTTGGATTCTCACAACAGTGTTGGTCCTTCCAAAACCAAAGACGTGAGTATTCAACTAAACCATACTAAACCCAAAAAATTACCTGGACAAATCTCCATACAATGACAACTCATTGTATCCAGACGTAGACGGTAGACGGTAGACGCGCGATGTGAAATCCCAGGATGCACGAGGGCCTTGAGCCATTGCTGCAGAAAGTTGGAGGCGTGGAGACACGTGTGGACGTGCCAGTGCCGCATGCGACTCCCTGGTGGACGTGTTGTTGAAGAAACGCTGCTGAAGACACGTGTCCTACGGCGGGTGACGTATTTTCATAGGCTTCTTAACTTCCGACTTCACTGTTTTGTTTGCTGAGTCGACTCTGCCAGGAGTGGAGCAGGTCTTGTTGGACCTGGAAGCCAGAAGCAACAAGCACGGGGAGGAGGGGCAGTCGAAGCGCTGCTTTTTTGCGCCCTTGTTTATGCCCGCTGGTGTGGCGGGACTGGCTGAACCAAGAGAGGTTGCAAGTTTCGTGAAAAATCAGAACCAATATGAAAAAGTAATTGATGAAGATGATGAGGAGGAGGAGGAGTGAGACATCCGTTCCGTTTTAGATGGTGTTACAGGCTGGCTGTGTTGGTATCGCTGTTTGAGCTGGAAGGGTTTGGACTGGTTGTAAGCTGTTGTAAGGGTGCGGTGGAAGCATGTTATATAATGTTATATAATTAATGCGTTTCAGTGTAGTCCAAGCTGTTGAACACTTCTTGTGGAAAATGTATGAAACTTTGAGGTTGTAACCGTTTGTCGTTTGTCAATTCCCACAGATGTTTAAGACTTCCCAGCAGACGTGGCTGCATCAGAGGACGGACCCACAAGAAAATAATTTGAGTAATTGCCCCCCAAAACTTGCTCCCAACTCCTAAAAAGAACCCACAGAAGAGTGAAATGAGATGAAATGAGTATTGATCTAGTAGATAAGTTGACCATGCGAACGTTGCAGAAATCCACTGGCCCGCCAGGTCTTTCGGGACATCACCCGACAGCACCAAGCTCTCCGTGATGGGGAGGCGGTCGACATGGAGGAGAAACCTGAGCAAACACGAGTTCAAAGGATGAATGCTGAACGCTTTTCTCAAAGCCAAGAACACATTCCGAAGACTAACTCGATTCTTGGAATTCCAGTTTTGAAGGCAGTCCCAGATAGTCTGATGGATTTACAATTGGCAAGTGTGTTTCTGTACAGACAATGACGCAGCAGAGAACAGCGTAGCTTTGGGGGTTCCATTTCGATGTTATCAAGTCAGACTGAGGATCACAGATGATGATTGGCGTCAATTGTTGTGCTACCAAAGAGAAGTGAAGTCAAATGAACCCAATGTGTCCTCGCTTTGCAACGAGCCTTGCTTGAGGGCTCAATGAGGCTGAAGAAGCTTCACAACACGTAATAAATTGTAAACATGGTACAGGAAATTCTTCACTTAACTGGCAATTGAACCACACGTTTGTGTCATAGTGCTGGCCTACAGTTTATGCCACGCTGTTCACTACACCTTTTCCAGCTGGTCAGGACTATGGCAAAGCGGCTGAGCCACTCCGCACAAGTTCCGGAGGGACCGCCAGATGGGTGACAGAGGATGGGAGAGACATGGATTTGGCCGATTGGGGTAGGGTGTGTCTGAGTGTAAACCAGTAGGCCTGCAACCTGACCATTATCATCCACTGGGCCCTGGTAATGGCATAATTCCAGAGTAGATATACATGCCTGGGCCAGTCACTGTGACGATAAGGTTTGAAACGACCGGTGGGTTGTGAAAATTGGAGGGAGAGGTGCAGTATTGTCTCCAGTTCCAAGTTCTCTGGAAGAACAAGTGTTGCGCTGCTCTGCTGAGGCTGCCCCCAGTTCTGACCCCATGCAGTGCCCATTGTCATTTCCATTCTTTTACGATAGTTTCAGGTTCTGGTGTGGGTGGGGTGGGTGACCAACCGCACCAGTATCACGAGCGAGTTGCATTAAGACCTGCTCAAGATAAAGACATCACACCAAGAACGAGTTTTTATACTATATTATATGCACGTTCCATTCAACCAGGACGTGAGAGGACAAACCCTCTTGGGGTCGGTGCCGTTGAAATGGAGGGAAAAGGCAAGGCCTCCCCACTCCCAACAAACGGATTTTGATTTTCTCAGAGGTCTTTGGGGGCTCTCTACACAAACAGGTCAAAAGTTGTTCACGCACATGAAATCTTAGCTTACAATCCTGCCCCTTAGAATCCTACAGAGGTTCGCAGTGGAACTCCAGCGGAGGAGTGTACCCCGAAATAAGTGTATATATAGTAGAGTGGAAACTCTTCCGCCGGCCCAAAAGAACACACGGAGGCTTCTATATAGGTTCAAGTGTGCATTGGATGTCGTGGTGGGTGGCAAGTGATCAACAAAATAACACTGAAGTGAGTAGTTGAAAGAAACACCAGCGTGGTCGGTTAGGTGCGGATTCTGACCTACCAGCATATCACCATGTGTAGCGTTCAACCCACCACAACCGGCTGGCTCCTTATCAAGGCTTGATCAGTGCGGCTGGAAATCATCGGCGGTGCTGCAAGATCGTCCGAAAGTCGGGATGTTCAAGGATGTTCCACCATGTTTTTGTTGGCCTCAGGATCCGGTTTCTGATGGTTTCTGCTGTGAACAAGGGGTCCTTTCTACATGTTTCTACCAGGTTGTCGATTTTACTTCCAGAACAAGGGGCTTTTTCTACTGCCGTGACACGAATGACCACGGATAATGGAAAGGCTGTCCACCGAAAAAACGGTGATCACGCATAAAAAGCCGCATGACACGAAAGCGATGGCACCCAAGGGATCAGCCGATCCCTGGGCTGCTGGGGTTCAGGTATATGGCTCAGGAATGGTGGGTTCGTGCCTCTGCCGAGCGGATCATCGACCGTATCGACCAGTACTTCTTGCTGAGCGGCGAGCAGGCGAGTACTGCGTGTGGGAGGCGGTTTCTTCTGGCGGAGAAAGGGTGATGTTGAGCTTCCCAAAACTGGGTGAATCTGAAGAAAAACTGGGGAATTTGTTTGATGTGTTTTTTTTTCCCCAGCTCCGAACTGGGAAATCCAAGTTAGCTTTGGACAGCGAGTAGCATATACTGACTGGCAGAATCACCCCACAGTGATGCATGATGTAGGGTTGTCATCTCCACCTGGAAAATGGGCAGTTCAGCAGTTCGGTGCAGGCGGCTGAGGGTCCAATCGTTTCCATCCCTGACTTGTGTTGGACATATCCCAGGCACTCCAGGTATGGCATGTTTACATACATTGACCCCTTTACAAGCACCCCAAATGTAGATAGCTATATTTGCCCGTCTCATGGGTGTTTGGTATGATAGGCTCTCATAGCTTCAACATGCTTCAACCTCTTCTCCGTGCCATAGGCTCTTGACAAGGCTTCAACCACGGAACACCACAAGAACTACAGTATAGTTTGGGTCTGTCCTATTGCCTGTAGCAGGACCGGTAAACAATGAGCACTAATTTAGAGATGTTGGCCAACCAGGCCCCATCATCAGGTATTAGGATAGACTCAACATGGTGTAATTACATAGGCCTGTTTGACCTGTTTAATCACCATATATTATATATATATATGCTCTAGGGGGTACTGCACCAAGGCATGGCCGAAACCGGGGCCGCGGAATTTCCGGCTCTCGGAATGCCCCGACCGTGAGGTCCGGAAGGGGCATCCTCCATGGGCCTATTCCAACGACAAGAATAGCGTGCCCAAAGGCAGGGTATAGCCGGGTAGGATGTGTGTGTGTGTGAAACACACTAAAACAGCCCATGATCCACATAGGTGCAGTATGCTCCAGTTGCATGTGTGTTTGCTTTGCATGATGATATGCTTCATGTTCGAGAGCCGCAGTGTAACTAGTTGCATCCATGATCATTGACGAACAAACGCAATGGGGCGGGAAAGGGAGTGATCCACTAGCATAGGCAACGACTGCACACAAATGCTAAAAGTTTTTATTAGGACCTTGACCAGTAGGAAACCAGGTTCTGTATGTAGGGGTGATAGGGCTTGTATTATAGTGGATTATGTGATCTTCTGTGGATGTGCAGGAGGTTGATTCTTTGTTTGAAAGGTTCGAACGAACAAGTAGACGTACTCATGGAGCACGCCTTATATACTCTCCTCAAAGAATCCCCTCCCAGAAAACGAACCGATTTTCTGTCCCATGGATGGGAAGGCTAGGCAAGCACGGTCGAACGTGTTGATTTCATGGCTTTTGGTTGCTTTTGGATGTTTTCGGGGGAGTCTCCTCACGTATTTGCAAGGCCTCCTGACTCATGATCCCATATTATTATCCAAAAGCCTCCTGTTCACGTTCGTGGCGACGAGTCGCCGCTCGAGCGGGCCAAATCGTGGCGACTCTGCCTGTCACGGCGCGATGAAGCCATGCGTGGATTTTTCGGATTTTTTCGGTTTCGCATCAGCGATTCCCTTCTCAGCTTCGTTTCAGGCTGGAAGCAGTACGAAGTCCAAGGCAGGCGTCTTTTCTGGAACCCTGAGACGATGCGCATGCAAACCAAGGCGCGAGCACGCGCGCGGGACAGGAAGCACGTGAGTGGTCGATTTGATTGACTGCATGGGAACATTTAACCCGAGCTAGCTCGGATTGGTTGGAGTTTATAACTGCAGTTCTTAACGCGAAGCATGTGAGAGATAGAAGACCAAGATGTGGATGACATATAGAAATGGAAAAATGGACAAATATGGAAAGACCTCCAACATCCACAAAAATCCATTAATTGGTTGTCCACAGGTATTTTGTTTAACCCACAAAAAAACATCAAAAAAACATTTAAAAAAAACAACATCAAAAAACAACGATCCAAAAACAACTCGATCAGACGTCCGTTTCGACCTCGTGGGTGGGTGCATCACGGAACAGGTCGTCTCGTTCTATACAAGTAGTCACGGAACACCTCGATGAGACACCGGTGCCTAACCATTACCGTAAGAACTAAGAACCCCTAGTGTGTCCACGCTGTTTGGGTAAAAAAGATGAAAAAAGAAACAGATTTCACCCAATAAGACCACATCATGAAACAATCTGTCCACCCAGATGCTCCAAACAGCCCTTGAAGTCCCTCAGAACCAGATTGCTTCGACCCGTTCGACGAGTCGCTTCGACGACCCGAGGAGTCGGATCCGAGCATCCGTCGCCTCTGCTCTCCTCACCCATCGGATCCGATCAGTTTGGATCGCTCGAGCGAAGTGGCCTCCCAAGCGTTGAGGTTCCTGCCGAACCCCCCAAGAAACGATAAGAAACGGGTCACACGAAACGTCCCCCGCTCCGTGAAGCCAGTGATTTCCGCACGGACGACACGGACCACACGGAGCCTGCAGTGATTTGGACCTTCCAGACTTGGCAGTTGGCAGGTTTGTTTCAGCAAGAATCGTGCTGACTGTCAAGGGGAATTTGTTGATACACTCATGGTTGATCTCTATTAAAGAAGTAGACATGTAAAACTAATTATATATACTTAATATATATATATACTTGCAATATGATACACACGTTTTTGGGGGCCATCGTCCACGGTAAGAGCTGGAGTCACATGCGAGCTCTTAGGCCGAGTGCCAGTAGGAAGACTCGGAAATGTCTTTGGTATCACACTGTTTCAGAGTGGATGGAGTCTTTGAGGTGGTACCTGTGTCTCTTCCTTCAATAGTGGCACTCAAGAGCATACTGAGCGTGTTTTGCTTCTTTGAACTGGGCCGGGGGCAGGTGGTTTGCTCAAAAGAAGCCCAAACAGACCCCCATGTGGCGATGAAACCGGCGGTGAAACGCCGTCTGCGCCGCAGGCGCCCCCCGGCTATGATGCGGACGAGCCCCCGCGAGAGCCCCCTGCGGCTCGCGAGCCACCGCTGAAGTTACTGGACATTGGCAGCAGTGGCATGGTAGCAACGAAGCACCTGGCGTGGTAGCACCTTCTTCGCATCCTGTTGAATGGAGACAGCACATATACAGTTATATAGATTATACAGTACCTTCTTCAACCCCTAGCCTGCAAAGTGGACACAGGGTAGCTGGATCTCCTGAGTGAAATTCAAATGTCTATAAGAGTTCTTCGTTCGCTGCGGATGTTGCGATAGGGTCTGATCAGCTCTTGAACTATCTTCAAAGCCAAGCCAGTATGGCCTCAGCACGACTGAGATGGCGCCAGGCTTACGGATCCTGATGTATGTCCTGCCGACGACTCCACAGGCCCCTTCACCTGCGCCACACCGTCCGAGGTGTCAATCGCTTTCAAGATTGGCCTTTCTTCGTTGAGGCGACTAACGGTGGACCGAAGAAGAGATGCGACCGGCGGACCGGCGAGAGGACCCAGGAACAGCTGGTCCAGGTCCCCTGCAGGTGCCTTTTTGGAGAATGCAGCGGCTAAACTGAGACACTTCCAGTTTTTCAGGCTGGACGTTGCTAGAGGTGCCGCGCACGGGTAGTTCATGGGTCGTCCACGATCTTGGCGTACAGCACTAAATAGTCAATAGTACATCCTGTAAGGGTTGGATACCGCGTACTTATTGCAATTGCTTGCAGTTCCAGTATCAAGTGTTCATCCACCTAATTATTACTTTGAAGAGTTCGTTGTTATTTGGTCGTGTGTTTGTCCCAGATGCCGGCCGTACTTGAAACCATCCAAAGTATTCCAAAGCGCATCCACCCGGAGTAGCAAAAAATCATCCACTGACGAATCCTTCGCTCCGCCGGTTGCCAGAAGAGGGACCGGCAGAGCGGAGGGAACATCAGTGTGCATGAAATTCAGGAGACCCACCAACCACAGAGATGTGCTGCGCTGCTTGAGACCGATCCTTTTGGCATTCAACATTGAATGAGGAAGACAGGAACCAACCCTGTGTGAAATTCCAGTAGGATGTGAAATGTGAACCAATGCTGTGTTAAAAGTTTATCCTCTTCCAGTAGAAAGCCTTTGGATCGATCAACGCCATCACCTTCAGAAGCACCATCCACGCCCTTGGCGACCGCAGAGGCGCACGCCCTGGACTTGCAACCGCAGGCAGAGGAGGTGCGATCTTGGGTGGGTCAGATTGGCATAGTTCATGAATGTTCATGATGATTCGTGAAAAGCCTGCCAGCTGACTACTGATAGAACTCTGATAGTTAGAACATAGAACGATCGACCATATAGAACACCGAATTCGAATTACCCCCCACAGGCCTTTTGATTCCGGATTTCCTGCGGAGTCCGACCTCATGGTCCCATGAGCTGGTGCACCTCCTGGGTCGTGCGAACCTCGACGTCCGACCACCGGACCTACGCCACGCCACGGAACGGCCAGGTCCTACAGGCGGACTTCTTTGAGGTCCCAATCCTCGAGGCGAGGCGGTCCTCGGGTGGGCGCAAGGATTGAAGAACATCGACCTGGTTCAGGAGATGAGGAGGAGATGAGGAGATAATATACCAGGACCCTCCAAGGGGTGCCCAATGGAAGCCTACAGGTAGTGTGGAGTAGTCCATTGGAGACCCCTTGGAGGGTCCAGGTATGTGTTTCTGTTTATTATGTGTTTTTATTGGGGGGGAGGATCTTATGAGCGGGGTCAGTGAGTGGATCGATGGGAAGACGATGGGTAGCTCATGTGTTTTTTAAAAAAAAGAACGGACAAAGTACACAGAGCTCCTGGTCACTCCCAGAGTGGCAGCAAATCACCTATTGCGGGCGATAGCTCATGTCATGCTAATGCTTTCAGGACCCGGACCTGGGCCTTGAGCTTTCCCACGCAGTACGCTGCGATGATCTCAATGCTGCAGCCGGTGTGGCCCAAAAGTTGGCCGCTTTGATAACACCACGAAGGAACAGGATCAACCATAAAAAATTGGATTGCACTATGATGGATCAAGTTGAATTTGGATTGAACCAAATGAAACCAAATAGAAACATGGTTCCAGAAATGGAAGCAAGTGCAAGCCGCAAGCCTGAGTTGTTGCCATTGACTTCAGAAGATGACTTGTTTTTTGCACTCAAGGGGTTCTCCACTTCCATGTCAATCATGCTTGCTTCTTAAGGGGTTCATTTTCTGCAGGTCCAATGACCGACCTCATGACACCGGGACCTCATGAGTTCAGCCATCGAATGGAAGAAGAAGACTGACCGGGTTGATAACGGCTGCTTGAAAAAATGGCCTCTAGGGAACCGCGCACACACACAAGCTTCGTTCGCATCAATCATGCCCTTTGTCATCCCTTCTCCTTGCAGACGGGTACTGGGTTCTCTAGGTCTCTAGGTGAAGGACTCCGTAGTAGCTTCTTGTCACTAGTAGTAAGGAGCTACTAGTAGCGTCCTGCTACTAGTAGCGATGCCAGGAGCTACTGGTAGCTTCTTGTTACTCCGTACCTGCCCTGCCGAGCATCATGAGTTCATGTGGCTCGCCATGCGGCTGCGACACCTTTGTGGCTTATCCACCAGACGCTCCGCAGGGCTTAGCCACTTGGCTGAAAGGAGGTGAGGCAACCTCTAGGGTCCAAGGGAAGGTGGGGGAGTTGCGTGAGTGCGGCTGGGACACTTCCTTAGTTTTTCGGAATCTACAAACCACCAGGCAGTCAATTGTAGATATCTACAAGCTAAATAAGAACAATTTAATTTGGAAGGTGTACAGATGACATCACAGTCGTGATTGATTGCGACTCTGGGACCATCGCCTGTTCCACCACATACCTGAAATCCACTTTTTGCCTGTTTTCTGGCTGGAGCTTGAAAATGAGATGCCACCCTGTCACCGATAGATAAGATCTGAACAATTAAGAATACACAAAAAGTTGTCAAAAAGTTTGATTCTTGCACGTTGGACTCTTTTTTTCTGGACATCTACATGCCTCCGTTTCAAAGGTATTCTTAGGTTAATTATGAACGAGGATCACCAAAGGTCAGTTTGTCCAGACCTTCACACTCGTTTTCGCCGCGCTTCTCAGGTGGTCTTTGGCAAGAACAGCGACCGCCCCCGGCGCGAGCCGCAGAGTGTGCGGCGCTACGAGCGACAAAGACATGAGCCGGGCAGCGTGCTGAAGTGTGACTCGACGTGCATGGTTGTTTTCTGGCCAATCCTGCAGTTGAGGAGGGGAACTGATTCTCTACCAAACTGACCCAGCTACTTGTTTGGATTTGATTTGTCCTTAGGAGTTGTAGGGGAGGCGTTTGCATGGCAGGTGCTGCTCTCGTCTTCGGATGGGAGGAGCTTGGAGGGCGATGGGAACTGAGATGAACAGAGTAATCCCCATGTCGATTTCAAGAGACATCGCTCGTATGGGCTTCTATGGTTGACTTACGAGAAACAATGGTTTGGAGCGGTTTCGGTAGGAGCACCAGCGAGCACCATGTTTCATGACGATGTTGACCTCAAAATCAGGCCGGGTACGAGGGCCTTGCGGTCGATCATTCACTCAGAAAGGACATCAAAGGACATCACAAGCTCCATCCAAGGGATTATATAAACATTCTTCACGGCTCCAAGGAATTAAACATCCTTCAAGGGCCTTGCGGTTGATTCTGAACTCTTTCTTGGCTTTAAACATTCAGTATAGCTTGAGCTCTTCGCGACAATTAGATCGACCTCAGCTACTTGGAGGTCTCAAAAGCTGAAACAAAGAGCTGTTTTTCAGCATCGGTGAGCATTGCCCGATATTTCTGAGCCTGCAAGAGTTACAGTAGGGCGACTGAACAATTTTGTTAAACGTGAACAACAGTTGCGCATCTCCATTTCGAGGTGGGAGTTCAGGTGTTCCTTGGGTTATGTTTTGGGGTGGGTGTCATTTTCCGTGATTCTGCGGAGCTCTCACATTGCACACAATCTTCGGGGGAAACGGCCTAATCACGGGACTTGGAGAAAGACATTGGGACAAATAAAGGACCTTCTTTAAGTCGTTCATTTGCCAGAACTGTAAGGGTCAGTAAGAGATTTGAACCCAATCTTCGCTGCGCAGAAGGTTGGAATGTTCGCCCAATGTTCGCCAACCTTCTGCGGGTCTCGAACGACTCCAACCTCACTCACGGATGGCCCCCCACGCGTCGTTGCCGGCCGACCTGATTCACCCGATCCTGAGACCGTCACTAGTAGCTCCTGGCATTGCGACCAGTAACAAGAAGCCACGAACGGGGCTCCTGGCATCGCTACGAGGAGCAAGGACGCTACGAACGGGGCTCCTGGCCGTACTACTAGGAACAAGACACTACTAGTAACAAGAGTTTACTAGGAACATCTAGGAACATCGCCGATCGCTCGTAGCAAGAAGCTACGAACGCCCAGCTCACCCACATCTGTTGTATGCTGGGCTTGTTCTGCTTCACTTCCGCGCGAGATCGCCAGCCATGGACCCGGTCCGCACCTCGCCCGCCACGGTCCTCCGAGGTACTTACATTGAGATCCCACAGGTGCCCGAGACGCACGCAGTGCCCCAGCTGACCGTGGAAGTGGCGGGCGAAGCACGGGTTTGGATGAAGGTGCTGTACGGCCTTAGGGGATCTGATCTTGACATACCCATTCCAAAAGATCGGTAACAGAGCTGCACGTCAGCTTCCGCTTCCCCATGTACAAGATGCACCTCAGCTCTCAGCTGGTGTGCTCTCCTCTACAGATCTGGCCCGTCCTCTCACCGTGCCGGCCGTCTCGACGCGCGGAGCCGCCGTGACCAGGTTCTCCTCTCTCAGATCGACTGGATGTGGGGCGCGGAGATGGGTGCGAACGAGCGTGGTGTCTGGGCACCTGCGGTGGATGGTCGTGTTGACGTGTTGTCCAAGCGTGAAAGTGCGGGTGAAAGTGCCTTTGGGAGGTGTTTGCCCAAGAATGACATCGTCTTCATGGATTGTGTGTTATAGATTAGATCATTCTGTTCTGTTTGACATAAATGTTGTATCATGTTGTATTTCAATATATATATATATATAGAGAAATAATGTCTAGCAACTAATAGATCCTAATGAAACATATCCTTCTAGTATAGTTGAGGTGACAAACACATGGACCGAACTCTCTCCATGTTGCCCAACCCCAAGGCGTGGTCTGTGGCAATGAGGCTGTGTGGACAGTGGAGGATGACAGTGGGCCAGCGGCCCTGCATCTCAGATGAAGTGGGGAACACCTACTCCTGACTCCTGATGTGTGTGGGCCCGTCTCAGACCACAAGGCAGGCGTTGTCTTTGCTGACCAAACATTTGCATTATGAAATGATCAACACTCGTCCGGCCAATTCCGAGATGCTAGAAGTTTCAAAGTGGGCCTATTTGGACAAAATATGTTAATTGATGTTTATTAAGTAATTTAGATCCGTGTTTGGAACAGTGTTTCAATGCTCTTCTGGCCCAATCTTCCGATGCAGCTTGCAGGGACTCAATAGGTTTCTATCGCTCAGCTCAAACGATTTTTGGAAGCGTTTGCACCTTGACGCGAACATTTTGTGTATTTAAGCTCACCAATTAAGCCCTCCGCAAGCAGTTTCTTGCTCACTTCGGTGCAGGTGGGTGGCAAGCACATGCCACAGCCAACAACCACATCCCTCCAATTGGTTGGGGGGGTTGTCCGACCGATTCCGAGGTCGCTGGTTGGGACTGAAAAAGCCGAAAAAGCCGGTGACGACCCACCACATCCAAGGCCTTCTCGCAGGAGGGACAATGTTTCGTTTGTGAACCCCGACCCCAAGGGTACCTCAACTCCACTTGGGAGCTGTAATTCACCCGGATGCATGGAGTGTTGGGATGTGTAATCGACATCCTTAAACCTGGCTCGCATCATATGCTACCATTCCAAAAACCATGCGCATGCCTGATGCGAACTTCAGGTCGCTCAATTTCTGGAAGTTCCAAGCTGCACTCCAACAGACCAAATATTGACTCCCAGCCAACTCCTTTGAATTGGTTTGTCAATGAGAAGTAACAACCGAGTCCATCCCATCCATTCCATGTTTCGCTTGTGACTGGACCGAAGAGTCACTCCGGTGAGGTGACACTGCCTACCATATCGTATGGTACCATCTGAAATCAATGCACCAACCCAAACGAATTGAGTTCAACAGGTGTTCAATGTGTTTTTGTGTTTCTGACCGACCGTCTCTCCAATTGCCGCCAGTCGCGCCGAACATGTCTCCCAAGGCTTGGTATGGACCTCTTGCGCTTGGGCCTAGAACGCGGGGCCACCGCACGAGAGGCCTTGCAGGCGAGATGAACATGTCAGCGAGTCCAATCGATGTTCTGTTGGCGTTTTTGGATGAAGAGATGATGACGAGGTGATTTGCAGAGGATGCGGAATCGACATGATGCATGGTATTCTTCTTCAATCCATGATCATCCGAGCAGGCTGTTGGCCTCCCGAAAAGAGGTCCAAGTATGCAGGT